CGGCATAAATGGGAGGATACTGAAAGAAACAACCTCCATGAGCTACCTGGGAAGCATCGTTTCAACTACAGGTGGAACTGACGAGGATATCAAAGCCAGAATCGGAATACCAAGACAGGCTTTCATTACTCTCAAATCTGTGTGGAGGTCAACACCACTCCTCAGCATCAAAAATAAGATCCGGATTTTCAACTCCAACGTAAAGTTAGTGCAACTATACGGATCAGAGACTTGGCGCGTCATAAAGAGCATCTCAAACAAACTCCAGACCTTCATCAACATCTGTCTTCACTCAGTACTCAAGATCAGATGGCCAGAAAAGATAAGCAACAGGGATCTCTGGCAATGAGTGAACCAACCAGGAACCGATTGTGCAACAGATAGGCAGAAAGAAATTGAGATGGATTTGCTATACTCTGAGGAAACCATCAAGTGACATCACTAGACAAGCCATCGCTCGAGTTGAACCCTAAAGGGAAGTGGCGAGTTGGTCGTCAGTGCGAGGGTGATTTGGAGGAGGTCCTGTGAAGAGGAGATGAAAGCATGTGAACAGACTTGGAGCAAGGTGGAGAAGATGGCGGAAAACCGAAGGCAATGGAGACGCGCGGCTGAAGCCCTATGTTTCTCTAGGAATTAAGGGAAATAACAAAATAATAATAATAATAATAAACGTATCGGAAATATTAATCACATAAATAGCATGAGCTCAGATTTTGTTTTACCCACAGACTTCCTATAATATTTAACATTTTATATCTGAATAATTCCAATGATTGTTGAGTCGCAAATTTCTCCTTTATTTTTTCTAAATGAAGTTTGCGCCTCTGCAAAAATACTCTCAGAAACTCAAAAGAGACTGTTATTAGAGACTTACTCTCCATAAGCCCTCATGAAAAATTTCCCAAGTTACACTATTTGTCTGACAATGTCAATCAACTTATCATACAAGCATTCACCTATCCATTTTCCTACTGTTATGTTTTCGGTATTTCGTTTTTTATTTCAATCCACAATCGGAATTCATTACCACACCTAGTTTACTAGCTCCTTATAAGCCCCAAAAAAGATGGAAGATGAGAGCCAACGACCCTATCAGCAAATACAACATATTCAATAAAGATAGTTCAAAGCACAGACAAATTATAGATAATTAACATATTAGTCATTATTTGAATCAGAGAAGAGTAATGATGCAAGCAATTGTCCCTGAGATAACGTCAGCAAGATTAAAACGATGAGAAGGCTACAACCATGCTATGCTTCGCAGCTACAAAACAGAAAACATAGAATTCCGAACCTTGGACAGTAACGGGAGTAAATCCAGAGTGTCATTTTAAACGAAGAGGCATGGTAGGAGATAGGGTATATAAGCTGGACACACCAAACTTCATCTCAGTCACAAGAAAGTGGAGGTGCAGACTGCTCCACACAAAAATGAGAAAAAAAGTAGGTGTTCACTCAACTCAGAGCATTATCTAGTGCAACCAACACTCGACATTAAGTTGAAAACGTTCAATGAAGCTGCAGTTAGACCGAAATTCAACGAGATCAATACGGCATATATGAAGGACGAAATTCCAAACGACACCTTTACAGCTTCCACCAGGGTAAAGGTGGAAAATTAGGGCAGCACAACTGAGAAAACAAGTGTGGAGGATATCTTGAGCACTCTGAAAGTGATGCTACACGAAGACATCATAACCTCGTTGCAAAGGAGGAATCGGCGAGGCAAAGAAAGCCTCCCTATGCACACTTCGTAGATGATAGATGAAAAAGGAGTAGTGAAAGAGAAGATGAACCACTGCAAATATGAGCAACAAAGGGGAGAAATTGGTTTCAGTGCATGTAGCACAGAAAAGACGAATAAACACAGCATCAGAGGACGGACAAGTGCAGAAAAACAGGCTGCAGGTGAAAGATACCTCTGAGTCACGTCACTTATAGGGAAGAGTTCATTACAGATTAAGCCAACAGAAGATAGGGTGGGGAAACTAATAACCAAAGAGAAGAAACAAAGGAAACAATTCACTGATCACTTCGAATGCCTCTTCAACCAACCACCACCCACAACTCGTCCAGAGATACTGACAACAACCACAGAACCACCAGCAGACACCAATCTTCCAACAAAAGCAGAAGTCCTCCATGCCATCAAGTTTCACCTGAAAGTCAGGTGGGAAAACAACATGGACACATGGAATCCCCCATAGATACTTAGAACGGACCCAGAGACCTCAGGTAATATTCTCATGCCACTGTTGCAAACGCTTTGGAAGGATAGAAGGAAAGGCGCGTGCCTACTAACTGAAAGAAGAACAGATACCTTGTTGCCTCGAAAACAAAGGGAGCCTGAGGCCTCATGGCCACTGTCCATTCTAAGTGAAACTAAAGCCACATCATCCAGGAAAGACTAAGAAGTTTTCTCAATGCAAGACTTCGCTCAGAGCAGCCTGCATTCAGCAAAAATAAGTCATCAGTAGGTCAAACTGCATCACTAGGCATCATCATCATCGAACAGATTGTGGATGAACACTCGTCTCTCTGACTCAGTTTCGATAGGGCTGAGAGCGAGGAAATTTGTCAACTACTTCAACGTCATGAAGTGCAGTGCCATTAACATGTGGAAACTTCATTCAACAGTTTTACTGTGATGATGGTGATGATATATGCCAATTGATGCACAATGGGAAACTCATTGAAGCGTCTGAAATGAGGACAGGGGAGAACAAGGCTGCCTGTCATCGCAAATGATATTGCTGATTGTAGCCAATTGGGTTATGCAGAAAAGCGTGAAGTGGGAAGACACGTACACGTCTGACCGATGTGCAGAATCTAATAGATCTTCAATATGCGGGTGGCTTATGTGCCATGTGCAAAATCTGGGAGATATGCAGAGTGAGACCAACAAGCTGGAGGAAAAGACAGTGATGAAAGGACATCCAGTGAACACGAAGAAGAGAGAGGTGAAGAAATAGCTCGTAGTCAGCATCATCAACAGTTTTCCCGCCAGTTTGTCGCAGTCCTTCATTAACAACTCTCTTCCTTCGACACCGTGGACCATATAGCCTGCCGGGAGGGATAGACCAATGAAAATCACATAATAACAAAAGTATTAATGTAATGTTAGTGGTAATACTTTGTCTCTTGATGACCAATGATTATGAATACCTGATTACTCAAGTTTCATAAGGCAGCATAATGTTGATGGAATGCATTATTGAAAAAGAATCAGACCTGGAAAGATATTATCTGAAAACCCTTCATCATAAATTAATTTGGTTAGTTTGTCATTCAAATTTGCACGGATTATGTTCATCACCGAAGCGACCATTACTGTAACTTTACAACAAAAGCATTCAGAAATAATTTATGCCAGAAAACAATGCTTTAAACCTATTTGGTAAGCATAGACACGACATAATATTTTGAAAAAAAAACTAGTCTGTAACTCCACTTAACGCCATGCTGATAATATGCAAATATAAGTAGATCGTTTTAAAGTATAACATTTTTTGCTAGAACATGAATCATATGTTAATGCAATCAGCTATCCAGTCAGGTAGACTTAATAAATATTCATCATTCCGTCTTTCCATTTCGATACTTTCTGGTGAAATTTTCTGTCAATCTATGTTCAGCCTTTTTTCACTAAAACTTGAGAAGGAATCATGCTGTGACAAGAGTTATGCATAAAAACTGATGTACCGAAAAATCCATCCATTCATCGAATAGAACTAGCGTTTTAACACATTTTGCGCTGTTTTTTTCGGCAGGCAGAGTGTGTAAATGTGATGCATCTGTAAGACTACAAGTCATTTCTTTCATTGAGAAGATTTTCGTTATTTTTTCAAATCTAAAATTCTAGATAGGAATTTTTCTTCGAAAATGTTTTGTGTGTATGTATCGTACAAAAATTCTTAATCAGCTGGTTTATATTAATTATTATTGTTGTTATCTTTGGTACCAAGTGGAACATAGGGCTTCAGCAATACATCTCTACTTTCCTCTCTCTCCTGCCACTCTCTTCAACTGGATCAACGATTGCCCATGTTCTCTCGTCTATTCCTCACACGATCTCCTCCATATTACCCTCGAACTGATGACCCACCCGTCGCTTCACGTTCGGATTCCGCTCAAGAGATGGCCTGCATTGCGCGTGATGTCATTCGATGACCTCCTCAATGTATGCCCAATCCATCCTAATTTTTTCCTTCATACTTATTGAACTATCGGGTCTTGGTTAGTTTGTTGCCACAGTCTCTTTTGCTGATTCTTTCTGGCCTGTCATTTGATCTCCAGTATGAGGCAAGTGAAGGAAACTGTTGGTGGAATTCTTCAGTAACCTGTTGGAAATCCTTTCTGTGACCCGCTGGCCAAGTTTCTGACTTGTATAGAGGTAGTGATCGACTCGATATTGGTGTTGAAAATGCGAATGTTGTTCCTTACTCTGAGTGAGTGCAGAAGATTTCCAAACTGGTTTCAGAATGATGAAAGCGTATCTTGCCTTTCTGATTCTGGTCTAGTTTGACACCTTCATCCGTTTCACGTGCATGTAGTTGAAAAGATGCTTCCCAGATAAGTGAAGGAGCAACCTCTGTAAAATCTCCCCAGTTGGTGGTTATTCGAGCCGATTGTTGTTGTTACTGTTGGTTGATTATCTTCATCACCTCCGTCTTCTCTGTGTTCACCTGCAGTCCTGTTTTACGCCGCCTCTTAAGCTAGTTTTTTGGTTTTCGCCTGCAAGTCTTCGAGTCTGTGCGACATTAGAAGATACATATCATCCACACGCAAAATTCAGATCTTCTAGAGTCTTCTTATCGGTGGTTCAGCGTATTCTTGACTCCTAGCTCCCCACAGTCTCACGCCTAACTGGTTTGTATTTAGAACTAATTTCTTTTTAGCTGGCCATCAAACTAACAGTTGTCATCAACACCATATTAATAAAAATGTCAATGAATCAGGTAGTATAATTAATTGAACAAATAATTTACACAGCTTACTTCTGTAGATCAAATGACTTCACATAAGATGAAAGCGCAGTCAGTTTGTAATAAACGAAATGAAATTTTTGTATCACTCTAGGACCTTCAGTTGGTCCTTACTTTAATCTTCACACAAATCTTCTCATTTGTAAACTTGTTGAAGGCAAAAGCGACAAATGTACTAGGGTTATTTGAGCTGATTCTTTATTATTTCGTGGCTCTCTCTTTCTCGGCTGGTTACAAATTTTGAAGTATACAAAAACACAAATTACACAAAAGATTTAAACATACATTTTACGCAGTGATAAGGAGTAGCTGATAACTACTATAATTAACACGAGTCCAAAATGACGCACACCAGTAAATTGTCTAGACTTCTAAAGATTGACTATTCATCAGATGAATACATGAATATTTCTGAAAAAAAAAACAATCCGGAAGTTCGCTTTGGTACTCCTGAAGAAAAATTGTCCCTTGTGGTATGAAAAGTTGACATGAAAAAACACCTCATCTGCATTCTGCAGACTACAAAGTATTTTGTAACAAAAATACCACTAGTTATTTAAAATTTCTTTTAAATGTAAAAAAGCAATTGCTATATGATTGGCAGAAGTGTAACACGTAGGCGATGATAAATATACATTTCTATTAGTGTAATTTCTGTGTTTTTAGTACAATCATAGAGTGTTGTAAAGGCCATTAATACAAACAAATGAAACACTTTATTACATTCCATTTGTCTGTGTTTTTCTACCACTTACAATGTTTAAAGATGAACATTTTCAAACAAAAGAAAAAGTGAAATTAACTAGTAGACCTATTGGTTGACGCTTACATTATAGATACACTCTTAGTGTATCTGGGTGAATATCGCTGTCTACTATTTTTGGCGCACTTTTGTATTCAAATCTATGCCAAAGCATCTGCCTAGTGAAATCTGCATTCAGATGTTTTCTGGATGACGCTAGTGTATGAGTTGCTTTCACCTAAATTTTTATGAATTATCTAAACTGACAGCACTGACTAGTAAAAGAAACGTAGGCATTTGAAAATATTTTGGTAACTCCATGTTCATAGTTAAATATATTGATCAATGCTGATGGGTGATTTTTCCATCGAATAGGCTTCGCTGATATATGCAGATTGATTTACAGTGCTTCCTTTATATTCACATTGCTTCCCTTTTTGAATCTATAGAAAAATAAATTTTAGTAACTTGATGATATGGTTTTGGACTTGATTAAAATCTTCAGTGAAGGATAATTATTTATGTAGATGTGTTCAACAAAGTACCGATAAACTTTTATCCGTAACTGCTATCTTATGCTTATAATTTCTCTGACTTGATCAGTGACACGGTAAATTTGGCGGTGTCACAATCGAAAACTCACAAAACATTATGCAAAAAAGAAGATTTCACTAATTTTAACTTCATTTTAAATTTGATATGTTCAAACGAGGGTATTCATTAACTGTGGAAAATGATATCACTATCTTCAATATATTGAATTTAATATTAGACATTTAAGCCTCCTTCATGTCTTAGTAATATGTAACTTTTTCAAGTTGTGTGTGTTTTATCCTAGATGAAGTCATAGTTTTCATCAAAGACATTGCTAAAGTCAGTTTTCCATAATGCAACAACCTTTTCTAAGTATACTGGCCCTCATGATTTATGTACTTTTTCCTTTAGTCTCTATTTGATCACATATGGCGGGGGAGGAGTTTTAACCTGCATTCGTTTAGATTCACATTTTTCTTAAAGTCTTGGAGCAGATGAGTAGATTTCCCTTGAGTATTTTTATCTTTCTATGTAGTCTGATTGCAGTATTCACAAATATGGTTGCTTTTTGTTAACAGTATATATTACTTGCTATAAATCAGCCACATACACTTTGTATGTTGAAATAACATGGATTTGTAGCTCAGGTGGATGATTTAAAATTAGTTGTGTTCTCCGAGCTGGTTAGTTTAATTGTGAAGCTTTGTCGTCGTCTTGCGCCGAAGATGTTGTCCAGAAAAGCGACGAAAGCTTTGCAATTAAACCAACCAGCTCAGAGGACACTATTAATTGCAAAACTTTGTATCTGTTTCGAATTAATTTCTAATATATTAACATGAATGCTAATTTGGAGCTTTCAAGGGTTTCGCTTAAAAATACAACAATCAGCTGAAAGTTAGTTAACGCTTACTTGGAAAATCTGTAATGGAATTATTTAAAACATTTGATGGTTAATCATTACTTATTTAGAAACATAATTCAATCTGCATCTTTCTTATTTAAAAATGAAATAAAAAGGACTGAAATTTACTCGTTATCCTGGAATTTTCATCCTTATTATACGCCTAATAACCTTGATAATATTTTAATTAATAATCATTATTATATTCTTAAAGGCTTCGAAAGTATTCACGCAGCAACAAAGAGTGCCTGTTGCGGTCACAAACGGTAGGTTAATGAGTGCCATCACAGATGGTAATGTTCTTTATAAACACAGATTCAGAATTTAATCAACCCATATATCAGACTGCATATACATCGTTATAATATAGAAAGTATATAGAAGTGCATATTCAGATAATGCAGTATTTTTGAAAGATTCCAATGATTATATAAATGAGATTAAGTGCGAAAATATTATTAGTTTTGCAGTGTAGTGCACATTTATTATCTCTCTTTATTTTTATAACAGCTGGAAACTTTTGTCTTTTCACTCAACACTATCTAGTTTTGTTTCGGTTAGAAGTAGGAGAGTATTTCACTCTAACTGACTTACTGATACAACAAGCCTGCAGTTAGAAATTTTCTTTATTTCTAAAGTCTGTTTTCACAAACACCTTTCATTTAGTTTCAAAATTTACTTTGCAGTGAATAAATACATGAATATTTAGAATTATTTACTGAGAATAATAAAACTCCTGAGTCAGCCATAAACTCCTACTCTTCCGACTAATGTTCGCCTAGTCATTTTAGTAATGTTAACTGCTTCTGCAGTGCGCCGGTGGCACAGTGGTAGAGCACCCGCCGACCACGCAGTTGGTTCTGGGTTTGATCCCCTGCCGAGGCACTACTTTACCTCGGTAAGTCAGTAATAAGACTGGTAAAGAGGGAAGGTTGGGCATGAGGCTAGCAACCCCATCGTTTAAAAATAATCACCACTGCTACAGAAGCTTCAAGCCTCCAGCTTGAAGCCCTGTGTTCCACGGGGAACGTAAAGGAATAAAAAAAGTTATTTGAAATTTCCTCAAATAACTTGAAGACATTCTCTTTAAACTGGGAATTCCTCCAAAAATAAAGGGGTGCTAGCTTTCGAAGTGATAAGAAAATTAATTGATCCACTTTATCCTCCAAAGGTGATAAATATTATAATTCTTATTATCTACCAAATCTTAGTCATAACCGAAATTGACAACTAAACGCTTGTTCACACTAAGTCAGTAAAAACAATAAAGATGCATTCATATATTCATATTCTAATATATACTTTATTTAGTTTTTGTTTATTTTACTTTGTAGATTTTCTACTATTTCTGGCTGCGTATTCTTCAATCTAATGTTTTTTTTCACTTAACTGAGGTTGTTAATGATGTACCGATGTGACAAAAGAATAGTTTCGGAAAAGTGTGGACAAATATCAAACCCCAATTCATTTCATGTCACTTTCTAGGATACAAAGTGATCACAGTAATCGTCTAAGGCGTTACAGTAATGAAAGAGTTATCCTCACCTCAGTGACCATTGGCCTGTGTAATTAATCTATTACAAACTGCAACAAAGTTCTATTCGATTGATATCCTGCATAATAATCCATGTAATCATTTTCATGAGGACCATCACCATGATTGGTAGTTCATAACATTTTCTGTTTGAGTTTAATTTCTAGTGGTAACGACAGTTCTACTGACCTAGAATTAGATTGTTTTGTCCTACTTGCAACGTGACCCGTTCTCTGTTGATAAGTTAATTTGATTTTTGTCAGTATATCTGTTGAGTGAAGATGAATATGAATATCAGGCACCATTTTTAGCATTTACTCTGTCTAAAGTTTGTTCATTTTCCTAGTCTAACTGGTGTTCATATTTGCTTGTATGGTCTGATATAAAGGAATATATGCATTGTCCTCTGAAAACTAGTTTGTGTTCATGGATTTGAAGTTGAAAGGGGTGTCCACTTCAACAGATATGGTGTTTTTCACAACTGTCGTAGCTTTTTGGAAATTTTATTACTGTCTTCTTTTGTTATTGGGTCCTTTGGTCTGCATAATGCTGAATGAATTGATTTTGTTGGTTTGTCTGTAATACTCACCTTTTCTAGCCTAGACACACTGCACTACTCCAGTCCTCTGGAGAATAAAAGAGAAATTTCTGTTAACCGTCTTCGAAAAAATTGAATACCACCACAACTTCATCAAAAAGCTTTTAGCTGACATAAGACTGCCGATGTGAAACCACTCTCAGAAACCACAAGAAAAATCCTTTAAATATACATACAGAATACCTCTAAAATAACGGTTAGAATACCAACACATGTCAGAAATTATGGAAGAGTGTAATTCTAGGTCAGTAGTACTATCGATATTATTACAAATTATGCGCAAATAGAAACTGCTGTGGACTACTGATCATAATGGTGGTCTTCAGAAAAAACATTTGCATCGATTATTACATTTGAGGACCCGGAAGAGCTTACTTATAATTGAAATAAGCACTGGATATGTTGTTTAGAAGGACATTTCAAGCTTCTCGGTTAAATTACCCATCTCACAGAATGCAACCATATCAGAAACATCAATATATGATAAAATATTCTCTATTACTTCAGCGTCATCATTCACATATGTGGGAGATACATTACATGATATGCTGCACTTGTATGTGAAAGGTTGTGTGGAGTCACACTAAGGGATGAGTAACAGGAATGCCAGAATAATAAATCAGGGATATGTCAGGAATTACTGTTGATTAGCATTTTGTGATAAACCTTTGAACTTATCACTTTAAAAGTATTTCATTTCACATATGTGGTAATATATAGGAAAGTGAAGCAATTTACACTGCATAGTTATTTAGTTTCTTGTCCTGTCTCTTCTCCATTCCTAGATGACTGTCTGATGGGTTTCTCATCTGAAATTAATCAAGTCACAGAATACAGTATTTAAACCAAAAGTGATGATAGTGAATTCATTTATTCATGACAGTGATAAAAGTAAAGAAAAACAAGTGAATGAACTGGTGAATATTATGCTTCAACAGCAACGTGTAATGATTTTTAAGTTATCTTTTGGTCACGTGTTTTTAGTTTTTCCAGCAGAATATGCCATTTCAGGCGGGAGGACATTCTTTTATTTATGAAGTTAGGTAGACTTGATGCCACATTACAAAGCTGAAGAAGTTAGGAATCATTAGCACTAATCTACAAAACAGAAATGTTTCGTTTAAGTTCAGTGGTGCAGTATATTTATAGGTCAATCTGTTGAATACCACGATTTTCCCTCATTTCTATTTCAGAACTATTACTTCATAGTTGTATTTCAGAATTGCTTTTGATGATTATCAGTAATAGTATTGTCAAACAAATCAGTATTTAATTTAAGTTTTCTAAAGTGTGTGCCATTAAGATGCATATTACACTA